CACATTGTGTCTTGAACTGTAGATCTCAAGTCCCTCTATCTAAATCGAAGATCAAAATCAAAATTTCATATAGCTGACAGGTCATTTTCATGAGTTGTTTTGCATGTTTTTCAAATATCATTAGTTTTAAAAGAATTTCGTCTTATACATTATCGAAGAAAAAGACGTGCCCGCTCCTTTTCTTTCGATTGGTGAAAACCGCAGGTAGCTAGGTATTGCGGTTGTCGAGTTATTGAGCTTACATTCACCCCTCTTTTATTCTGGCGCGGACATTAAGTTCCAACAGCTCTGCAACTTTTATCCGATTTGCCAACCTAATAGAATCATCATGAATCTGAATAGAAACAGCAACAGCTCACGCGTGGGTGTGAATGTGGGTGTGGATGGGTGTGTGGGTGGGTGGATGTGGATGTGGGTCTGAGTGGGTGTGGCTGTGGATGTGGACGTGGGTGTGGGTGTGTGGGGTGTAGGTGTGGATGTCGGTGTGGGTCTTCTTTTACCGCAGACAACACATCCACACCCATACTCACACCCACACACCCACACCCACACCCACACCCACACCCACACCCACACCCACACCCACACCCACACCCCGCTTACAGTTGAATTTCTTGATATTGCCAGATTAGATAAAAAGCTGTATGCACCATGTTCAAATTAGTCCTTATCATCGATCTATTGATGAACATTTTATTTAAAAAATTAAAAGAGTACACTACAGTAAAATATACGGCTTGAAAGGTTAGCTGATTCATATGTGTTTCAACTAAATAAACAATAATTCTAATATACCTGAAAACAATAGTTTCTCAGTATCAAAGTCTCTGATTGAAAAGTCAGTGTCAATAATCATCTCGTCGAATGGCAGTAACCTTCTGATCTGGATCTTCGTAATTATATGAAACAACGGCACGTTTTTCTCGTTCAGGTTCTGGCTCTCCAACGGCACATAGTCTCATAGGTACACGACCACCTGTTGTACAAGAACCGAGACGAACTTCGTGGATTGCATATCCTAAAAGAAGAACGATCCATGACTGTAAAATCAGAACTCATGCTTCAAGCATGATAAAAGCTTTATAATACCTTGACTTTCTAACTCCTCTTTCACTGTACTATAACTTTGTCCAACATACTTCTGTAATTCTTCAGTAGTCGATGCCATACTTCTCCTTGGTAGTGTTTGTGTTACCTTCACGTATACAGATGGCAAACAAAATGAATAGATGACTTATGCTACTCCTGTAAGTGATGTACTTTTGTGTTGAGTTCTCTACTACATTTTGTTTGAATAGCTACCCGATGGAATAAAGAAGAGCAGAAGAGAAAAATGCTACGACATTGTATAGAGACCTCAGTTACAACATTATGTAGAAGTGGTTTCTCTTTCGTTCCCTGCGTAGGTAGGGGAGAAACAAATGGAAGCATACATGAAGTGTAAATTATTTTTCATTGTATGTGTTTTTTTCTTACTGAGAACAAGTTTTATGTCAATTGTAAACGCTCGAATGAAACGTCATATACGATCATGCAGAGCGGTATACTATATCGATTGTCACCGTATTTTATGCAAGCAGTTCCTACCTGTCCTCTCTGCCCCCCTCCGCACCACCACTTTCCAAAAATAGGAAACTTATCGTTGGAGTTTTCAGACCGACTGAAGTCATCAATTCTTGTTTTTCATACATGTTCGATGATATATCAACGTATGGCTTCGATATATGTATCATCAAAACTGCGTGAGAAAAGAATTTTGACCTCCAGTTAAATTGAACATCTCGATTCAATAAAATTGATACTTAACTATTTCATCTATCCATATAAATAATATCAAAAAAAATATAAATTCATTTAATATAAATATTAAAAATAAACTTTATTTGATCTAAAAAGTAAAAGCTAAAATTTATTTAATCTATAAGTAAAAAAGATTAATGAAATAGTAAATTAACTATACTAGGTGGGAAAAAATATTTTGATAGGGGAGTACCGCTATATTTTGAAATAGAGTTAATAATGAATTTTATACCAAATGAAAGTCCGTAAAAAATGGGATTTATTGGTACTAAAGAATAAGGGTTATGGAAACTTTCGTATATTGAAACTGTGAAAGTTTAATGAATTTTGCATAATGCAATCCTTATAATTCATTTTTTGCGGGTTTTAAGGCAAAGAAAAAGGAAATATTCTTTAGAAAAATTGAAAAGAGCATTCTTCTGGTGATTATAGGACCTAACTATGATTCAGAAGGTGCAATTTTCTTTTTACGTTCTGTCGTCTATTACTTGTGATGACATATCAGATGCAACATTTGCTTCAAGACAATGATGTTAAATTTTGGGGTAATGATATTTGGCCAGAAAATTCACCTGATCTCAATGTGGCAGAACATATTGGAACAATAATCAAAGATGAAGTTGAAAAAAAGATGTTATCCGAACCCAGACGTTCTCGTTATCTTGAAGAAACACTCAAAATGCACATTTCAGACGTTTTGAAAAATATGGAAATCAACACTGATTTATTTGAAACTCTCTTATGTTCATATCCATCTCGACTACATACAGTAAAGAACGCTAACGGTCGTCACACTGACTATTGATTGTTTTCATTAAACAATGCAAAAATAAAGAATTTTGTATCACATTTAGTTCGAACGTTATCTCATCAATTACTTTTCTCACACTTGTGATCAGTCGAGTTTACTAATTTTAAATATTTTAACATACGAAAGTTCCTATAACCCTTATTGTTTAATACCAATAAACCCCATTTTTTACGGGCTTTCATTTGGTATAAAATTCATTATTAACTCTATTTCAAAATATAGCGGTACCCCTATCAAAATATTTTTTTCCACCTAGTATAGTAGAAATATTAATTTTACATCTAATCTAATGTATGATATGCTACACTAATGCTCGAGTCAACATTTAAAAAGAATACATTGATAAGGGTATGGGCACAATTATTGTATTAACTGACACCTACACCCCACACTCCACATTCACACGTACACCCAACATCCACCACCCCCACCCTTGGGAATCATGAACAGCTATTTCAAGACCAGCTATATCACTTGTTCTTTTTGTGTACCAAAAAGTGAGTACACTCTAGAATCGGTCAGTGTGTCCGGCCGTTTACATGATAACTTTTCAAAGAAGAGTCAGATCGCGATGAAATTTTTTACACAGTTCAGTCTTTACAATATCTCAATCGAGTTCGCAGATGAGAAGGATTGGCCGAGCTCTTCCTCAGTTATTGCAAAAATATTCATTTTTTCCTATACCATCCCTATGGAAAGATCGACCTATTTCCGCTTTCGTAAACAACTTTTCCTATCATACTCAATTAAAACCCCAACTATTATATAGCATTCGATAGAGAATTTCAAGAGCTACAAAATGATATGTAAAAAATTAAGAAACAAGAGGACTAATTGATCTATTGGTAAGATAAATAAACGGAAATCGATTCGGTTTTTGTGCACGTTCCAATCAATCCCCAATTGGAACTCTATCTTTCTATCATAGAGGTGATAGTTGAAGTTTTCTGGTATGGAGAATTCGAATCTGTACTCCACTTGCCTCGAAGGCCCATCGGTTGAGCATTGACCAATAGAAATCAGGTTATAGGAAAAAAGGACTTTCTGAGACTAGGTTAAGCCGAACAGGTGAAATTTGAGCTGTACACGCTCACAAGTCTCATTGGTTGTGCAGTAGCTAATGGAATTCAAGGATTAAAAAAATGGTTTGCCATGCAACATTTTTATAACCAGACATTCTAGGATATTCGATTTGTCTCATTCACTTTTTGAAGTAAACATACTCTCAGATATAAATTCGAGATTTCTGCATTTTTTTCCTTTCGGTTCTGTCTTACTCGACCTATTTTGTTCTTTTCATCAAAAAATTTTTCTTGTCAGCTATACGAGTGATGAAAAGAGAAATAAGTTCATTTGCTGCTGTTTATTTGAAGACGATACATCATTGTGAAAATTCAATGTAAGCGCATTAATGAAATTAACGCAAGCTAAAATTTATTTCACTTCATGCAAATATCTGTGCCTAAACATGTACTTCTATAGTGAAAGATTTTGTTGAAGGATGTCGAAATTTCTTAGACATAGTCCACACTCTCATTCAATACTAAACCTCGTGACAGTACCAATAGCTGACTTACTATTTGATTGTAAAGATGATCATAAGTTTAGTACAAATTTTTGGGTGTGGGTGTGGGTGTGGGTGTGGGTGTGGGTGTGGGTGTGGGTGGATGTGGGTGTGTGGGTGTGGGTGTGGGTGTGGGTGGGTGTGGGTGTGGGTGGGGGGGTGGGGGGGGGGGAGGGGGG